GCTAGATCTCCTCCTCCACAAGATCTGATCTCAGATCTAAGGCCAAAAAGTAGCCGGCCAACTCACATCAGCATTTTTCTGCAATTTTGCTGATTTAACTTAGATATTGCAGAGATAATGCCCCAAGGGCCTTATCTTTGCAATCCGGACTGCCCTACTAGGATTTAGGAGGGATGAGGTCATCATTGGGACCTGCCCATCCCTACTGCTGCAGTCCCAACCTGGCGGCACCTTTTTCTCCACTCATCCCTCCTCCTTTGTCTCATTCTCCCCCTTTTTCTCCCCTTTTTCTCTCCTTCCTCTTTTATTTCTGTTGGGACAAGTGTCCAACAACTATTTCTTCTCTTTCTGGCTGTTGGACCTTTCCCCAGGTCCGATTTTGCAGCTGGCATATGACCGTTACACCCCGGCTTGCAGTAATGGCACCCCCAAGGTTCTAGGGGCTCCATTTGGCCGCCGCCGCTCCCCGTCTAGGTCCCTTTCACTCCGATTTTCCCCGGGCAACCCTTTTTTCTTGCGGCCCTCCTGGAACTTTATTTTTTTCTTGGCCTGGCTGGCCTCGACCATTCCGGGTTGTCACCCAGGCCTCCTTGCCGCTACTGCTTTACTTTTTCCGCGGCCTTCCGCGCCGGCGCTTGCCGCAGCGGTACTTGGTGTATTTTCCCCATCCTGACCCATGGTCCTGATGGGGCCGTCCGCAGGCGCCGCCTGTCTATTTTTACCGTCTACCCCATTCAGTTCATGACTCCTCTGGAGCATCCCAGGTTCTTTCCAAATTTCTGGCGTCACCCCTGCTCCTTTTCATTTTGTTAGTGATTTTTCATCGACGCCCCGACTTTTTCCTGATTTTCCGCTAATCTTAGTTCCTCCCGTCTTTTCCGGCTTCGCCCCGGGTGACGTCCCTAATTTCCCTTGGTCCGTCTGGCGTCCTCGTCGTCCAATTGCCGGCTGTTTCGCCGGCGTCTTCTGATACTTGGTTCTTCGTGGCCTCCGATACTTGGTTCTGTCGACTGCTCCTGACACTTCCCTATTCACAAGTTGCGTCTTCTGCATTTGCGTATTTGTAGCCGTCTTTCCTGTTTTTGCCGGGTTCCCTCGTCGTTTTCTATCCGATAGGCCGCTCTCCCCAGACGGTCCGTCTTTTCCTCGTCTCGTCACTGCTTCCAGATTTTCTCTGATGTGCACAAATCAGCCAAATCCGAGTTCTCGAGTGATGGGAATTCATTCGGGACCCACCGGTCCCGACACATTCCCCCCACTCATTTGCGATGTCCTCATCGCGCACTAGTCCATAGTTAGTAGGAATCTGGAGACATGGACGGGGGGGGATGGAGGGGGGGTCAAGATGGGTGGTCAGCTTGCCAGGGTCCTTTTTGTCTTCTTCCCAATCTTTTCTCGGGGGTTCATTTTGTCTTTGCCCCCTCAGGGCGAGGGAGGGTATGGGGGTCGGGGTTTCTTCTTCAAGCTTTCTCCTTTCTTCCTACAGCTTAGACGAAGCTGCTCATTTTCGTCATAGCTTTGCCTCTTTATCTTCCCCTCCACCGAGACATGAGTTTCCTTCTCAGTCCATTCTGTATACCCAGCAGGGCAGCCCAGCGTTCCTTTGACTTCCGTAGCACGAGGCAGGCGAGGCTCTCCTTGCTTCCTACTCTTAGTTCCCAGCAGACGGACTCCCTCCCCAAGATGACCATTCGTCGCCCCAGTCCGGTTGGTTTTTCCTGCCTTGGTTTTGTTGATAACAAATTGTAGTCAAGTTTTTGGATGTGACTCAATGTCAGGCATCTGTTCCGGAAGGGGGGGTGTTCGTCCAGTACAACCGCCGCCTTTGCTGTGGTGATACCCACTTTGAATTGATGAACACAGGCACAACTCCCCTTCGCTGCATTATAACCTCGATTCCATCTCTCCGCCACTCCCCACTGCTCCCTTCTTTCCTCTGGGTCATTTTTTTCGGTTTTTTCTCAGGTTCTGCCAATCCTGCCCGCGTCTCATCCCAGTTACCTCATCGCTCTGCCATTCATTACCCCCTCCCTTTGTGTTTTCGTTTTGCCCGTTTTCTTTGATCCTTTGTGGATTTTGGAAAGACCGTCTTTTTCTTCCCCCCCACTCAAATACAAGAATCCCCTCCCTTCCCCCTTTTCTTCATTCCATTTTTACTTGTTTTCTTTATTTCCTCTTGGCGGCTCTTTTGTGACCCGGCTCAACCACGACCAAAGGCAATTTTCACACTCCATATGACCGGGCTCCTTTATGGCCCAGCTCAACCAAGTCCAATGCAATTCTCACAATCCATCTGACCAGGCACCTTTATGACCCAATTCAGTTAAGTCCAATGCAATTCTCACAATCTATCTGGCCCGGCACCTTTATGGCCCAATTCAGCTAAGTCCAATGCAATTCTCACAATCCATCTGGCGAGGCACCTTTATGGCCTAGCTCAGCCGAGTCCAATGCAGTTTTCTTGTCCATTTTTTCCTGGGTCTTTTACTTCTTTGCACGCTTTGTCCTTGGGTAGATGGCACACCTTCCCCCCACTCAATCGCGATGTCCTCATCGCGTTACAGGTTCTCACTTGGAGGTACGTAGACCTTGCCTGTCGACTGAGTAAGCGGATGTCGGCCCATCAACACGAGGAAGGGTGATCAGTCCTTCCCTTGTTGATAACTCACCTCATCCCCTACCCTAGTCTGACGGCCACCAACTCGGAGATAGGCATCATCATTGAGGTGCCTCCTCGCAGCCGTGAGACAGGTCTAGTCCCTATCTCCCAGGACCCCATCCTGCCCGAGAGTGGCTCCCTCGCGAATCGTTCCTCCCAAAGTGGTATGTTTTGCGAACCCGGCCTCTTCCAATCCAAGAGAGTTGGGGCTCTCAATTAATTCGCGAGTGCAGTTACGAAGACCTCGCAATTAGTCCCGAAGCGGTTATAATGCTCCGGCAGGGCAGTGTCAATGCCCCGTGGTGGCCGCGGACTCCACCCGGTACTCCGCCAAGCCCCTCCCCTTGGACAGTGTCACCCAACTTAGTGCGGGCAACCGAGGTCCGACCCAAACGGCCATGGCACCCCTCTATGACATGGCGTGTGGTTGGGGAGGGCAAAATAGACTAGATGAGAATGGCTTCCTTGCCCATTTGGCTCTCTCGCCCTTTGGCGTTTAGGCATTCAACAGGAGGCGCAGTTTGAACTCCCCGACTAGAGCTCATTGCCAGGGTCAGTTCCGGACGTCCTGCACCGTTCCAAGTGGTAGGTGCCATAGTACTTTAACCCTCATCCTCTTAAAGGAGGAGCAGGTCACGCTGAGACTTTTTCCCTCAAAGGGATAAAGGTTTTGGGGTCGCGGTGCGTGCACCAGTATCCCCCTCTCGCCGAGGCCAAAGGCTGGAAGAAAAAGGAAATCCATTTCAATGTCATTTCCAAATCCATTTCAAGTTGCCTAGGGTCCCCTGTTTATGCCATGCAATTTCCAATACTCAATCCAATTCCAATGCTCAGTCTCATTCCGATGCTCAATCTTAGTCCAATGCTTGATGCGATTATCTCTCCCAAGGATGAGTCCAGTGTGCTTTTCAAAGCTGAGTCCAATATCCTTTCCAAGGCTGAGTCCCATATCTTTTCCAAGCTCCATCTTTCCAATGTCCTTTTTCCAAGGATTAGCTTTTTCAATATCATGCGTTTCAAGCAACCATGCAAGGGGACCCCAGTGCCAATTCCAAAGAATGACCCTTGTCAGGGGCCATTCCGAACAACCTGGTTAGGATCGTTCTTCTTTCCCAATCTCGAGCTCTGAACATCCTAGTTAGGACCATTCCTATTTCCATTCCATACTCATACTTGAATAGCCTGGTTAGGGCCATTCCTATTTCCATTCCCTTCTCAATACAAGTGCCCGAGGGGGTGGGCTGCGGGAGGCTCGGATCCGATTGTCATTTGGGGGGGGGTAGGTGGTGGCCATTAGTTTTAGCGTGCTATGCATTTTCCTGCTCCACTTTTCTTTATCTTTCTCATACATCCGACTTAGCGTCTAGCTCGCGGCGGGATTCACCCAGCCTTTAGCAATGCTAGCCCGCCCGGTCGTTCAATCATAGCTGCAGGTGTCATGTATATTGATGTTGAGGACTGGACTCCGTCGGATTAGGCTCCTGGGGGAAAGCATTGTCGTGCCGTTCTACCCGTAGGTTCCCTAACCTCTCTTAACAGGACGCCATCATCATTCACACATGTGACCGTACATTCTAAGAGACTCATTGTGTCTGTAGCCAGACCCAAGTCCTTCCAATCCAACCAGTATCACAATTTGTTGAGAAGACAGAAACCGAATTACAGATTGTTTAAATAGCAAAGAGAGAGCCTCCTTATGTTCGAATCCCCAATCACACTCTCCCTCGTCTTTGCCAAACTCAGAAAAAGTAGTTGATACTCAAAAAGTTGTCTCTCCCTGCATCTCCCAGCTTGCCCTCATGTCTTTTGGCAAGTTTCAGGTCAGCGGGCATTGTTTCACACAAAGTCCCACATCCTTGCCTTGACTAACTCTGTTTCTAGGAAGCTACTTAACAAAATACCACCCCCGCCTTTCTCCCTGATTGGTTTGCCGAGTCTCAGCACCCCTATTTTACATCCAACCGTGCCATCCAACTCCTAGTTTGCCAACCCTTAATTCCCAGTATCCCGACCCGTTCTTTGGCGCTTAGCGCCCCTGCCCTCCTCTGTCTTTGGTGGCGGCGCCACCGCCAGCCCGTAGGTCCGTATCTTGTCCAGTGTTGCCTTCATATTATGTAATGTTTCTTTTGAGAAAAAGTCCGTTGGCGTGACCCTCTCCCCAGCCGCCATGAGGCTACGGGCTATAATAATCCAGTCATGTCTGAAAGTGCTGGCCCACACCTCGAACCAATGACTGGGTGTGAGGTCAAATACCTCCTCCCAATCATGGACCTCCTCTGAGGCCCTGCTTGTTGATGCCTGTCCTGCCGGCCTGGGCCTTGAGACCCTATCCATCTCGTCATCGCTACTTACAATTACAATCTCCGGAATGTCCTCCCCTGTCTCATTGTCCTCTTCTGTGGATCCCTTGGCATCTTTCCGGCTTCCCCGCCCAGGTTGTTCCTTGTGCTGGTCCTCTGTCCCTTTTTCTTCCCTCCTTTCCTCCCGTTCTTGCTCACTTTCATCCTCTGGCCAAGCTGGGAGCACATCGCCTTCTTTTGTAGGGGAGGGTCTACAAACTCGCATCTTCCTTTTTCTTGTCCTCACAGGGGGCTGGGGTTGCGGTCCTATCACGAGCGCCGGTCTGTTTCTGTTTTGCGGCCTCCCTGGTTGCCGCCATGGGTCATCAACATTGATGTTTGCTTGATTAATATTGTTCTCGTTGTTGGATGCCATCTTGGTCGGCGTGACTTCTATACCTGAAAAGGCAGGACACAAGACAGGAGAAAGCCCCAACCCATTCCCTTGTGACACTCATCCCAGGCTCTGCCCACACGTGTCCCCCAATCTCGGTTGCTCCCACGGAAACAAAAAGGCATGAAGAAGAAGAAAAAAAGGAGGAACATCCGACCACCTCGCCCCCTTTTCCCAACGCCCCTCCAATGCCATGTCTTATGGTACAATGTCCCATCCCCCATTGCCCATCCCAGTATCCCACAAAAACTATGATACAGAACCCCCCCGCCGAATCGCACGTTTTCCTATGCGACTCGTGCACACCCAGACCGTCAAAAGGAAACAAACAAAAAAAAAAAACAAAAGACAACAACCAGAAGCACAAGTGATAAGTAGGCCTCTTGCCACTGTCCTGAGCGGCCTTAGTCTTCCGCCTCCTTATCCTGGGGTTCTTGCAGCCATTGTTCCACCGTATCTCTAGTGAGAAACCTGACCAGTCGTTGCGCATGGACTAGCCCCCTTATGGTGATCCTATCCAGGTTCTCAATCTCAAACGTGCTCACACCCAACTTTCTTGCAGTACGGTAAGGTCCCTTGAATCGCCGCCCCAACTGGCCTGACCATGTAGTTTCTAGTGCCGAATTTCTGACTAGAACCATCTCCCCGACCTGCAGAGGCTCCTTCCGGATGTTCTTCAATTGGTCCCGCCTGGTTTTGTCCTTCATGCGACTGTCTAGTACCTTGTGAGCTATTTCTTCCAAGGCCTCCTCGTTCCTGGCCGCTTGTTCACACCTTGCCTCAATCAATTGTTCCGTRGTCAGATGAGGGTCATCTTCCAATTTGTTCYAGGTGGGTACTAGGGCTTCTACCGGAAAGTCAATCTCCCTGTCATACCATAGCTCTGCCGGGATGCATCCCGTCGTCCTTTTTGGTGTCATATTCTCGGCAAATACCGCGTGTCTGAGATAGTCCGGCCAGTTCCCAAGGTCATCTGCTGCCAACTTTGCAATCGTGTTCTTAAGCGTTTGGTGCCCTCGCTCGACTGGCGCGTTGGCCTCCGGGTGGTATGGTTTTGTCAATTTGATCGGTACGTCGAGCCTTTTGCATGTATTCAGGACGTCTTGGTTCACAAACTCAGTCCCATTGTCGGCTATGAATCTCCTGATGAACGGGTGCCTCAGATAAAAGTCCTCCACCCAGTCTGCAACTGCAAACCCAATTTTCTTCTTGAGCGCGGTTGCCTCGACAAACCCACTAAGGTTATCCCTTGCATCAAGTATGTACCTGTACCCTTTTCTGGAAACCGGCATGACTGCCAGGTCGAGATATACCATATGCCCCGGCCCCAGCACGCGGGTGGGTCTAAGTGGCTCGAAAATGCAGACCGTGCTTCGTTCCTGGCAGATTTTGCAGGTCTGACAATATGTGGCTACCATAGATGCCATTCTCGACCAATAATAGAGCGGCATTATCTTGGCTAGGGTCTCTTTGGATGAGCGATGGCCACCGGCCAATCCGTCATGCATGGCCTGAATAATGTCGAGTTGTCGCATCCTTCCACAGACTACTCTCCTGGGCGTCAGGCCTTCCTCCTTTCAGAATAGGTGCCCCCTTCTAAGCACATACCTATCCGCTTCCTCCCTAGCTTTAGGACTAACCTCGTGGGGTTCCTTGTTTCCTACCAGTAGCAATCCAATTTCTCTGAACAAACCTTCATATGACTTGATGAGGAAGAACTGTTCTTCTTCCTGAGTACCTGTCTGATTATTATCCACCTGATAGGCCTGAAAGTGCTGCATCTCCAGCTTCTGAGACTCCATCATGCTCATAACCCTTCTCCAGCCTCCCTCAATGGCTAGTGCGATTTGTTCATCTCGGGGCTTCACAACACTGCCCCAGGCGTCCTTCTCTTCCCTCCTTCCAACTCTGGTGACCGTTCCTTCCCTTAACTCGGCAACCACTGTCGGAGGCCCCTTTTCGAGTGCTTTGATCAATAGCTCCCCAGTTGTGCAAGTGGTTCCGGCCATCTCGCTGTCTACTACCAGCGTCCCGCCCTCGTAGTCGAGGAACGCGTCGATCGGCTTTGCCTCTTCTAGCCCTTCGGGTGTGAGGACCACCCTGCTCAGTCCGTTTGCTCGATTCCTAAGGCCGACTATGCGCTCAATCTTATAGTCGAACTGCCAAATAAATCCTACCCATCTTCCAACAGTCGGGTCTATAGGCTTATAGTTCTTCAGGGCCCCGACGACATTGGTTGGGTCTATCCTCAGGATAAACCTCCTCCCGAAGAGGTAACCCTGAAAGGTCTTGAGGCAATGCAGTATCGCAAGTACCTCCTTCTTGAACTGAGAGTAGTGCCGCGCAGCTGAATTGAGCGTCCTACTCTCAAATCTGATCGGTCGCTCTCTACCATCTTCGCCTTTATAATTTAGCACCCCGCCGACTGCCATTGGTCCTCCATCCGTCTCAAGGATGAAAGGTCGACCGACCTCGTCGTTGAAACACGGAGCGGCAAGGGTGACTTCTTCGGATGTGAGAATATTTTTCAGGGTCTGGACGACCGATTCCCTTTCCTCAGTCCAATCGAGCGTGCCTTCTTCACGGATCATGGCTCGAATCGATTCCGCTATCTTTGCGAACCCTTTTATGAAGATTCTCCAAAAGCCTACCACCCCCAGGAATGCCCTGACTTTTGTTGTAGTTCGAAGGGGCGTAGACCACTGTGCTATCTTATCGGTCTTAGCCGGATCCAGCTTCCTTCCATAGGCCCCACAACGAAATCCCAAAATTGTGACTTCTGGAACTGCCAAGATACTCTTCGGACCGCTAGTGGCTATGTTGTATTCTAGGAATCTTCGCAGCAGCTCTCTAATATCCTGCAGGTGGTCCCAAACAAACTTTTTTATCCCCGACTGGACTTCGGTCTCATCCTTTTCCCGTGCTCCTTTGACAGGGTTATTGTCAATGTAGGGCTCATATTTGTCTGGGAACATGTCCCCGGCCACCGCGAGCATCCTCCTCTGTGCCTCTGCTACCGCATTAGTAAATCCCATAGGTGTGACCTGCATCTGCAACTGTCCCACTGACGTATGCATAGCCGTGTAGGGCCTATCTCGTGCGTCCAGCGGGAGCTGGTCGTATCCTGAGTACAGATTTATCAAGGAGTAAATACTGCGTCCGGCATGGAATTCGGCCAGAAGATCTGCCTGCGGCAACGATCCCGCATCCCGGATGGTGACAGCATTTAACTTTTGCAGGTCCTGAATCCACCTAAGTGAATTGTTGGGCTTGCGGAATACAAACCACTTGTTGGCATAAGGAGACGCGGTGGGTTCTGCCACGAAGGAGTCAATTTTTGCCCTAAGGAGCTCCGTCACTTCTCTTGCGATCCCAAAGTCGTAGGCCGGTCCCTTGTCATTCCAACACTCATGCTCGACCGTGTGGATCCTGACTGGTGGGATCAACTTAGCGTCCAAGCGTTCTTTCTGATGGTCATTGAAAGCAAATGCTAGGTGAGATTCTTGGCATACTTCTTTGATTCCCTGTGTTTCTTGCTCCGTCAGAAAGCCCTTTACTCTGATCTTCATGGTTTGGGCCACCTCATCCGGTATCCTATGTCCTTCCGCCACCCTCCTTTCTCCAATTACCCGAAGAACCTCCCCCTCCTTTTCCATGGCCTCCTCCTTAGTCATCTCGAGTAGGATGGAGACCGGCTTCGCCTTCTTTCCTACTGGCTTATACCTCCGAACGCTTCCTTCCGGGATCTTTCTTGTAAAAAATGAACGGCCGGAGTTGCTTACGGGGCTTCCACAATGCGGGGCTGAATACTGATCAGCTCCCCATTTAGGCAATAGCCTTTTTGGACCCTCTCCTCAAAGCGGGCGAGGGCGGCCAGGTCAACGGCCACTTTGTGGTACCTAATTGCTTTGACAAGCTGCAGTAAGTCCGGGATTTCTAGTGTGACCTTATCCTTCTTATCCCGGTATCTCCCCGTGCTTGGGCAAACTGGCTCCCAATTCCACCTCTGTTTCCTTCTCTACTACCATGATTCCCAGAGCGTCTTCGTCTGGCCTACGTTTCTTCATCGGGAGTCCCATCTTGACCCATTCTTTCTTACTAAAGGCCTCTTCGATCATAATTTCCACCCTCTCTCTCATCCCTTGCATGCGTGCGAAAGCCCCTTTTCTAGCGCTCTCCTCAAAAAAGGGTGACCAGGTTGCGAGCTTCCCTTTTGGCGTGTCTCCCCGGTTCCCATAAGGCGAAGCAGCTCGCCTCGTCTTGTCACCGGGTCCTCTATGTCTACCATGTAGGCGCCGTCGTGCAGATGCATCCCGATCATCTCTACGTTCGCACACCACGGGCAGCCGAGGATCACGTCATGGTCCATTTCGTCCATGACGGTCATTCGTTGGAACGACCATATAGACTCTCTAACCCCGACTTTAACTGCGCACTTGGTAACATAGCTGGAAAAGGGGATTTCCCCACCTGCTCCCCGGACGCTCCCCATGACCTCCCGGTTGATTGGACACCCAGCAATTGTTGCAAAGTCCTTGCAAATGAGTGTGATTTCTGCCCCGCCATCTACCAGTGCATCCGTATGGTGGGTGCCAATCTGGACTTTCAGTTTCCCTACCGGTAGCGCATGGAAACTCAGTTTCGTGCTAGGCGGTGCCCTCATGACTTCTCCGCCTTCCCGATCTGGCAGACTTAGCCGGATGTCTGCGAAGGCTCTCTCTAGATCTTCCAGATCCCGGGGGCCCTCTGAAGGTTTGCCACTTCCCCCGGTGGCTCCTCTTCCTTGCCTTCTTCGCGTACCTCCGGTTCCTCCGCTACTTCCACCCTTTGCCTTATTAGCAGCTGTCTTAGGCCGTTTAGTAGTCTAGGACTAGCCTGCAACATGGTCTGGAAGGAAACCGATACCATGGTCCCTAGCAACTGGCTAAGAGTGTGGTCTATCTCAGGATCGGCAAGGATAGGGATCTGGTACCTGAATTTCTTCTTTGCGGATGTTACCTTGTCTATCGGCGCCTCCTCCCTAGGCTTGCCGTAAACTTTGTCCTAATCCGATTCTGCTGGCGGATTCGACCCTTCCTGCGCGTCTTCCATGACCGCGTCCTTAATTACCTTCTTCGTAGCACCCCGTTGTCTGGTGGTCACATTAACCCCGTCGCGGTCATCACTCTCGGTGATGAAGTTAACCTGGTGCCCTCGTCCGGGTGCCTGTCCCCAGGTAAGTTCCTCTACTGGTTCAGCCTCAACCGCGGCTACGTCCAGGTTGTTAAGTGTGATTACTGCTCTGCGCATCCCTCCCAGCGAGTTCCAGTTTACCCTCTCTCCCCGTGGCCCCAGGATTTCCCCGCGCAAAGTTCTAAAGCACCGTTTAAGGATGATATCGTGGTTAAGCCTGGGACACATGCGGACAAAATGCCCGACTATCGTGCAGTATTTGCACTGCTCGTTGACCGGGTCCTTTCGATTATTACCGCGGTTGGCTATCCCTGGCGGTACGATTGCCTTTTGTGGCGGGAGGGGGGGTCTTACTGCTTGCGTTTGCGAGACCTGGGCTTGCATCACCAGTAAGGCATTCTCTACTCTCTCTATCTTGCCGTCGACCCCGTGGACCCGCTCGTGCAGGCTTTCGATTCCTTTCTTCACTTTGTCTCCAGTCTTGCCTGTCAAATCTATGATCTCTCCCTCTTTTATCAGGGCCAACGAGTCTGTTACCACCATCTTCTCTGCAATGTCCGTTATAGTGCTGAAATCTACATCTCTAGTGTTCAGGAACTTTGTTGTCTGCTGGTAGGCGGACAAAATCTTATCTTTGTCAAACTCGGTGAACTGCTTTAGGAAGTACTTGCTCATTATTCGGTCCGTGACTCAGGGGATTCGTAGTGCTACGAGAGTAAACTCCCTTAGGAAGTCGCTGTATGTTGCGAAATTTTTCCTCTACACTGTAGCTAGTTCCGCCTCCGTGGCCATCTTTTCGTCTGCTAGATACTTCCTCATCATCACGTCCCTAGCCTCTTTCCATTATCCGCTTGTTGCGACGATTGCCATTATGTCCCTACCTAGGTTGAGTGACACATGCTGGCCTAGGTGCTCCATCTTTTCCTCCTCAGTCCATCTTAGTAGGGCTGCTAGATTTTCATAATCGATTAGGAACTTGGTGATGTTTCCGCCGTCGAAAGTCAGCTTTTTCTTGGCGTCGGCCAAGTATCCCTGGTTTTTGCTTAGAGCACGCGTGAGGGACGACACAACCTTCCTAAGCCCTCCCTCAATCATCCCAGGTCCTGTCGCGGAACTCGGACCGGCGCCTTCCTTGCTAAAATCGAGTTGCCCTTTTGGCTTTGCGATCCCTTCCGGGTCAAACCATCCCAACACCCTTTCCCTCAGGCTGCAGAGCCCTTCACACCCTCTTGTACTTACGGGCGACGCTGAGGGCCGGCTTGCTCCGCTGTCCAGTAGGGGCGGGTTGACTAGTCTATCCCTATCTTCTCTAGGGGGCTCTATTCCTTCTTTCCCTTTTTTTGTTGGGGTGTCCCTTGTATCCCTAGCCCGATCCCTTTTATGTTGTGCGTCCCCATCCTGGCTTCCTTGCCCGAGGTCCAGTTCCCCTTCTTCCCACGTTCTTTCCTCAGCGGCATTTTTCTCGGCATCGTTCATGATCTCTTCCAATAGTCTTGCCCTGTACTCTGTCGTGTGTCTCTCTACTTCGACTAGCTTTCTCCGTGCATCCGTTAACCTGACCTTTTTCGGCTCCGCCCCCTCGGGCTGCTGACGTGTCAGACTCTCCCTGTCTTTGACTTCCTTGGTTTCCGGAGTCCCCCGTTTACTTCCCCCGCTCTTTCCTGAATCTTCCCCGGGCACAGCGTCCTTGCTCCTCTCCCTGTTTCCTAGTGACTTTGCTGACCCCCGGTCCCCTAGGTCCCGCTCTTCTTGATCTACGTTGTCCTCTACGTCCTGATTTTCGTCCCTCAATTGACTTCCAGCATCGTCTCCCGTGGCCATGTTTTCCTTCCTCTAGCCCTGTAATATGGAAATTTTTTTTTGCAATCGCACATAATTCTCTTAGCCTTTAGAATTGCCTATTTTCCCCCCTTTTTGCTCTTCCCTTCGCTTATCTTAGGCATTTTAGCTACACCTTTGGTTGCAACGGCGTCTCTCACCCCTTTTCCTGCCATGTGTTCAGTCCATGGCGGCTCTGGTCACAACCACCCAATCCATTCTTTTACACCTGTTTTCTTTTTTTCCTTTAGTTCTTGTTTCTACCGTCTTTCCCGGCATTTTTCCTATGCTGGCTCCTCCGGCCTCTCCCTCTTGTCCGGCTCCTCAAATAGTCTTGCTACCCCAGCGAAATAATTCTCCCCCATCTCAATCTCCCTCATGATTATTGGCTCGTATTCCTCAAACGCCAGATGGGGCGTTCCGAATATCAGAATCTCAAGGAGTTCCAATAATTCTCGTGCCTGATTCCCCCAAAACGGCCCATGCCTTACTGCCACGTCATAGAACATAGTCGTGGGCTGTGGTGAGAAGTGGCGTTCCCAAATTACGGTTGAATTCACCAGGTCCCTTGCCCGAGCGAGACTCCCAAAAACCAAATGAACCATGAACCGGGGCACCCGGCAGCGCAGTCCAGACATAGGGGCCCTAAAGTCTCGCCATCCCCCTACTTCTACTCGCGTCCGTAATCCCACATTCCGTCTTCCCCTAACCTCATGGCCTATCCGGTTTAGGACCCTGACTGCCCTCCGAAACACTGGTAACAACCCATGCCCCAAGGCCAGTCCAGTTCCCAACATTTGCCACCCGATTTCTGGGAAATATAGAGTCCCTGTCACCCTGAGGTCAGTATATAAGTCATCTCATGGCCCCCTATCGAATCTCATGCCACCCCATAGGCACTCAACTAGCATGAAAGCCTGATTCTGTCCTAGGGTCACAGCCCGCCATTCCGTATTTATCCCTCGAACAATGTAGCTTGCCAGGAGTGACACTTCTCATCCGTCTCCGGTTTCCATGGGCGGTTGCGGGTGCATGCCCGCCGGTTCGTACGGACGCGTCTTGCCGCCATTGTTGGCGAATATCGCCCTGCATACACCACGCACAAAAGAAAGGGAAAAGAGAAAAGGAACCTCTCTTTTTAGTTTTCTCCAAGCCCCCTTATAGCCCGATCCCGCTGATCTACCTTCCCCCTTGCTTTTCTTTTCTGCCCTCCTATTCTTCTTCCCCCTCGAACAGTCGGCGGACGTCGTCCACATACGTCATCCCGCATCCTATCTCGCGCCTAGCTATCTCCCACACGACTTCCTCGGTTACCGTCGGTATTCCAGGTCTAGTGCCCACTACGGCCTGTAGAATGCTTAGCACGTCGTACTCCTTCTCCTCATCGAACGGCCCTAGTTCCAGAAAGGCCCGGTAATATTCTCGAAAGACGGTCATGTTACTAAAACTCAACCTACCCAGGGCTATCACTGCCATCTCAGAACGTTCTACCCCTCCCATTCGCTCAAGCAAAAAGGGCGGCAAGACCATGCGCACATTTTCATAAGACAAGATACTAGTTCCTACCTCGACCACCCGGACGGTCGCCGTCACGTCATCCCGGTCCGGGTTGGCGAACGCAAACCCTTCCCTCCAGGTCACCTGCCATGCCCCGTCAAACATCCGTTCGGGGTCACCGCCATCCGCCAAGGCCACCCCGAAGGTCCGCCATCCCTCATCCGACAAGTATAGAGACCCTGTCGCGCGCACCCGTCCTGACAATTCCAGGTTGGTGCCCCCAAACTCACCCCTTGCGCGCCATTCTAGTTCCACCACCAGGTACACCGTGTTCTCTATGAGTTCTACCCCAACCCAGTCCATCACCGGATTATACACCCCGCCCCTGGAGGGCAGGCTAACCTCCACCCTTCTATCCAAGAAACGCGGCGACAAGATCCCTCGCGACCGAGTTTCCCAAAGCGTCATACGCCTAGCCATTCCTCGTTACCTGCTCCCGCTCCTCGCTCTTGATTTCTGCATGCACCACGTTAGTCAAGTTCCCTTAGTTCTCGTCTTCTCCCCTTATCTCCTAGTTGCCCTAGCCCCCCCCCCTTTTTTATTTTGGTCCCCCCCCCCTCCTTTTGCGTACACTGCCCCCTTCTTTTAATGTACAATGCCCTTTCTTTTCCCGGTCAATCCCCCTATTCCCCTGTCTTCCCAGGTCCGTACTCAAATCCATAGGACCTCAAACAGCAAGAAGACGTCCCCTACATACGAGGGCGCTGCGGCTATTTCCCGACGGAGTATCGCCTCCTCGACTTCCTCTCCTACCTCTAGTCGGTAGTCCTTAAGTCCCTTCAGGATCTCGACCACTTCCTCAGCCCGGTCCCCGTGAAACGGCCCAAATTGCAATGACGCCTCGTAATAAGCGTCTGATAACCAGGCGAAGCCTATCTCTACCTCGTTCATGGATTCCGCTACGGCGCGGATATGTTCGTACCCTCCGAACCAGTCAGCAAAAAAATGCGGCACCCTCACCTGGACTAGCTGGTAGGGGAGCCTAAGGTCCTCCCATCCCCCCATCACGACCCTGCTTCCCACTTCGTCCCACCCCTCATTTGCAAAATCCTGCCCCATTTCCCAAGTTAACCGCTCGGCACCCTCTAAAATCCACATCGGGTCTCGTCCCGCCGCTAGGTGTGTGCAAAACATATACCACCCATTTTTCGAGAGGCACACCGTCCCAAGCGCTTCCACGTTCCCCTCGGCTATTTCATCCCACGCCTCATTCTCTCGAACCGGATCCCACACCCGTTCTACCCACAAAAAGGACATAGCCGGTACCATCTCTACTCCCACCCAGTCGCAGGCCGCGCCGCGCCACTCGTTCCTTGTTGGCAAGACCATCTCTACCCCGCCCTCAACCCTCCTAGGTGTCCATCCTCTAAACATCCGCGCCCACAAGCTTTGCTCCCTTGCCATCCTTGATTCCCTGCACACCCCCACGCGGCCCAACCCCTCCGTCCTCAACCCCCCCCTTTTCCCTAGAAATCCCATTCCTCGATTTCCATCTCGTCCTCCTCCTCGGAGTCATCTTCATTCTCTTCAGGCCACAAGTCCCGTACACCCTCCAGGAAGATTTCCCCTACCGCAACATTCCTGTAAACTATCCGCCAGTGCACGTCACTTGGGACGAACAGGCCGTCTGTGATGAGATGGTTTAAAATTTCGGCCAGTTCCCTTGCCCAATTTCCCTCGAAGGGTCCCATTTCGACCGACAGTCGGAAGAAATCCTGGCAGGCTCCCTGGTGCAACCCCAACCCTGTCATGGCCCTGCATATTCGCACCAACCTACTCCGGGTTCCGAAGACGGCGTCTACCATGAAGGGCGGCATGACACACCTTAGGGCCCTGTACGGCTTCCGCACGTTTTCCCTATCCCCAAGTTCTACCCGTACATCAATTGATTCCATCGTCATTTCCACTTGCTGGCACGCGGCCCACACTACTTCCTGCTCGGCCTCCCTGAACAGTTTGTACGGAAGTTTCCCCAGGGCGAGTTCAACAACCATTGCAGTCTCCCTCTCCTTTGACAGGTAAATCCATCCTCGGGCTTCCATGGTCCCCCGGAACTCAAGTCCAATAGGCACGACGTTATCCTGGCCAAGGTTACCTTAGTCCACATCGTTTCAATCCATAGGAAGGCATCACTTTCGGCCAGCATTACGGTTTGATAGGCCGGCTCCAGGTCCGTCCACGTTCCTTCCTCTGGCATTACGACTGATACCCCACCAAGCGTATACGCTTGGAGGATTGGCATCTCTGGCCCATCTGAGTAGGTCGGCGACGCCAGCCACTGCGCCATTCTGCCTCCTTTACCGGTGGCCAAGACTTGTTTCGTCCAATGAGCGCACCAATCGACCCTCGGGCTAGGTCCACCATTATCCTAGATGGGCGTTGTTTTTAGAGACCCCTCATCAAGGTCTCCCTAAAGTTCTCTACCCATCCTCCAAGCGTATCAGCCATCGCCACATCCCTAACCAGAACACCCCCCCCCAATCGATCATCAGTGGCTCGCATTCCTTTTCCTTGGTTCCACTTTCTTCCGACTCCTATCCAACCTCTTCCTCATGTTCTCTCACTCGTGCGGACTTAGACTTGGAGGTGAGAATAGACTTAGAAGCTTGGTCCCCTTCCAACATTCATCAAGCAACTTTACAGAGGGAGGCACAAAAAGCAGAGCCAGACAAACGTCGCACACAGGTCGGTCATCTCCTCACCGACCTTTTCCCCGAAATGGTCTCTCTACTGTTACTACCGGCAGGGCTTTCAGCCCATACCTCCAGCACAGCTCAACCGTCGCGAGCGCGGTACCCAGGTCTCAGCAAGGCATTCGCCCTTTCCTCCTTACCCAGAATACCCCATCCCGACTTGCCGCTCGTGTACCCACCGTTAATCTCGGGAATCACCCCGCACATCTCGGTAGGGCCATTGGAGCCAACCATCCAGGCATTCACTTCCATTGGTCCGATAAGGAACAGTTTTTCGCAAGCCATGCTACGAGAAGCTCTTAATCGCCCCGAGGCTCCTTCCTTGCCTGCATGAGCGTAAGCGCTTGCGTGTTGCAGCTGCTGCAGCAGAGAAGTGTGGTAGAGGGGCAGTGATCAAGGAGCGCCAGCAACAGTGATTGATACCGAGAGAGAGAGAGAGAGAGAGAGAGAGAGAGAG